AAATCGTGAAAAAACTGTCACCAACAACCCGCTCGACGGCGAAGAAACATGGCGGCTTCGCAAGGTATGTACTTCAAAAGATATACTTTTTTCTGCTTTTTTTAGTTATTGGACTTCGAAAGTCTATGAAAATAAAATATTAGATCGAAAATAGCAACCGAGTGGAATTTTACGGAATTTTACACCCGATTTCTTACGATATTATGAGAGTAATTATGCGTTTGCTGCAGCCTTTTGCTGCACAAATGACCTATTGTTATGCTTCCGGTGAAAGAGTTCGAAGACCAGGTTCAAGAAATATGCTTCTTGAAGATGAGTTGTTTATGTTTTGTGTGCGACTCAAGCTTGGTTTATTTGAGCAGGACTTACCACACAGGTTTCAGATACACAGATCAACAGTTTGCAGAAAAGTGATCACATGGACTAATTTTTCGTATTTTTTTCTTGGGAGTCAAGTGATCTGGCCATCAAGGGAAGATGAAACTGGCTATATGCCAGAAGGTTTCAAAAGGCTTTATGCAAGCACGCGTGTTATGTTAGATTGTACTGAGATTTTTGTGCAAGCACCTACCTCACTGCTACTTCAGTCACAGCTTTATTCTACTTACAAAAGTAATACTACACTAAAAGGTTTAATAGGTATTACCCCTTATGGAGTTATTAGTTTTGTTTCTAGCCTTTACACTGGAGGGGTAAGTGATAAGGAATCACAAGTTGCAGTGGAATTCTAGATTTTTAAAGCCTGGGGACTCCGTCATGGCCGACAAAGGGTTCGACATGAAGATTTGCAGAGGGAAAGTCTAGAAAGTCTGGAACAATTCTCTGCCCAGGATGTTCTGAAAACAAAGACAATAGCAAGTTTGAGAAAACATGTTGAAAGAGCAATAAGGAGGGTCAAAGGATGTCACTTTTTTGATTCTGATGTGCTATCGTCTACATTGGGTTCAGTCAATAATTCATAGACTATAGCCTGCCTCCTTACAAATTTCCAGGGCCCACTAATATTATCTAATAGTAACAATGAGCCATAGTGAAGTTATTGTGTTATTTATATTTTAGATACAATGAATATATGAAAGTTCATATATTTTGAACTGCGGTTATAGAAACGTATAATGCACGATCCTCGCAGTAGAGAGCGCTATTTATGCAATAGCGAAAATCAGACCTGAAAAAAATCAGGCCTGTACTGGATTCGAACCACTGACCTCTGCGATACTAGTGCAGCGCTCTACCAATTGAGCTAACAAGCCAACTGGGAGCAGGCCGTTAAGTTGATTCGTAATAAACCCGTGATGATAAATCAGATACAATGAATATATGAAGTTCATATATTTTGAACTGCGGTATTAAATACGTATGATGCACGATCCTTCGCAGTAGATAGCGCTATTTATGCAATAGCGAAAATCAGACCTGAAAAAAATCAGGCCTGTACGGGATTCGAACCACTGACCTCTGCGATACTAGTGCAGCGCTCTACCAATTGAGCTAACAAGCCAACTGGGAGCAGGCCGTTAAGTTGATTCGTAATAAACCCGTGATGATAAATCAGATACAATGAATATATGAAGTTCATATATTTTGAACTGCGGTATTAAATACGTATGATGCACGATCCTTCGCAGTAGATAGCGCTATTTATGCAATAGCGAAAATCAGACCTGAAAAAAATCAGGCCTGTACGGGATTCGAACCACTGACCTCTGCGATACTAGTGCAGCGCTCTACCAATTGAGCTAACAAGCCAACTGGGAGCAGGCCGTTAAGTTGATTCGTAATAAACCCGTGATGATAAATCAGATACAATGAATATATGAAGTTCATATATTTTGAACTGCGGTATTAAATACGTATGATGCACGATCCTTCGCAGTAGATAGCGCTATTTATGCAATAGCGAAAATCAGACCTGAAAAAAATCAGGCCTGTACGGGATTCGAACCACTGACCTCTGCGATACTAGTGCAGCGCTCTACCAATTGAGCTAACAAGCCAACTGGGAGCAGGCCGTTAAGTTGATTCGTAATAAACCCGTGATGATAAATCAGATACAATGAATATATGAAGTTCATTAGGCACCAAAAATGAAAAAAAAATTTACTCTATTTCATCATAACCTTTCTCAAGGTGAATANTAATCTTATCTAATAGTAACAATGAGCCATAGTGAAGTTATTGTGTTATTTATATTTTATTGGGAATGTTTATACTTTACCTAAACAAAAAAATAATGGTTATTGAACTGAGTGGAGTGCAACTTGATCTGATATCAAACACAAGTCAAAAAACCACATGATGGCGTAGTAGGAGTGTGATATGAAATCAAAAGTTTGATATCAGACCGAAATTGTATGACACTGAACATTTTCTGGATTTATGTAAATGAAGCTCCACTTTGTTCACTTTAAAGAGTAGTAGCAATGTCAAACATAGGAAATAAAATTTGAAAAATACTTCATTTTGTGTAGATTATTTACTCTAATCTGATGGGCAAACTGTGTACGATCCCGCTTGCAATATGATTGGTCGTCTAAACGTAGTGTTGAGTTTTGTTTTGCTAACAAAAAGATGTGATTCAGACTGAAAATAGTAGGATTCGTGCTTGAATCATACATTTTGAACCAATCAAATTACAGGATTTGATGTTGATTTCAAAATGGATATAATAAATTGAAATATCTGGGAAGTATAAATTACAGAGCAACGTGTGTATTGTTTGAGAAGTCAATATTCATCATGTATGACGGAAGGGTGCAGCAAAAATCAGTGCAATCAAAAATATGTAAAAAAAAGATCCATAGGGAAACAGGAACATTTTTATATTAAAATTGGGAGTTGCAAAGTTTTTAGCCTTTCTTGGTGTTGGGGTTTTAATCTTTGAAGATGATAAATAATGTTTAGCTAATTTGTTGTCAATTAAGATTTAATTAAGCTGCCCTATTCCCATTCTGCTATTTTGAACACAATCTTAATGTAAAATGTAATTGAAGAAAAAACTATCCACTTTGTTCTTTGCTTCCTGGAAGAACACTGGATCAAAAATATTACTAGAGTAAAAACAACAAATTGTCATCAATGTAACTAAAAAAAATCACACCATTTCAATCCTGTGAGTCCAAGCTGGCACTGAATTTGGTAGTGATGAATGTCTGTTGTCTTCAGTTTGTACTGGTTAGGGTTCTGGTCCTTAGTTAGATATCTGACATTGTCAAATGAAGTTTCACCTTCTTTGACAACTTTTATTTCTAATAAGCCAAATGGATTCTGACCATTATTTACTGTAACAAGATCATAAACTTTTCTGTCTGGGCTACAACCTAGCCATGCGCATTTGATCACCTTTGCCCGGCCAGGTAAGCGGTATAACTTTAATTCAGGATGATATCTAGAATCCCCATTACACAAGGGGACACAACAATGGTACGAAGATTTCTTCTTCGGGTCTGATGGCTCGTCGGTAGTTTCGAAATCTACAGTGAATTTTAGCATTGCGTTTAGTCTCGATGTAAGACGCATAAGTACTCTCATAACATCGTAAGAAATCGGGTGTAAAATGCCGTAAAATTCCACTCGATTGCTATTTTCGATCTAATATTTTAATTTCATAGACTTTCGAAGTCCAATAACTGAAAAAAAGCAGAAAAAAGTATATTTTTTTTAGTACCTACCTTGCGAAGCCGCCATGTTTCTTAGCCGTCGAGCGGGTTGTTAGTGACATTTTTTTTACGATTTCGAGAAAAATATCGTGTTTTCCACCCATAAATCAAGTCCAGACGAGAGATTTAGTAAATATCTTACAGTTTTTGTAGATATTTCAAAAGGATTGAGCGTAATGAACAGAAAACTATTGTCTAAAGCCAGATATGCTTGACCTCTTACGAGAGTTTGTTTACTGGAGCGCTTGCTCTCCAGTTTTATGTTGCTAGGCAGTATCCAAGCACGTGACCTCTAGCTGCAAAGGGCCTATTGACGAAGAAAAAGCCATTCCACAATCCAAAAACATTGATTTTGTCAGTTCCAATTGTTGGGGGTGTTACAGCTCGCTTGGACGAATTAGCGAAAGGTACCAAGACTCTGTAATTTTCTTCTTTATTCTCCTCTACTGCTGCTTCTGCTACTGCTATTTTTCTTTTTTTTTTTTTTAGCAAGGAGTGCCCTCGTATTTAAATGCAAAAATCACAGACATGTTTGGGTTAGCTGACCTTGGGAGTTTCCGCTGTGTATTCGTTGTTTTGCAAAAGGAAGGGGGGGAGAGGAAATTGGGTGGCTCGCTCCGAAGCACTTGGCGAGCACCAAAGAACCAATTAAACGCCAATGACGGAGCTGCGCACGAGAATCACGCGCACAAACAGGATCTTCAGTTTGGGTAAAACTCAAGGTCAATTTTACCAACCCCAACATGACCACCTATGAAACTAATTATTCTCAACCACAAAAAGCGATTAAAATGTCTAGCACGGTAAGAAGGAAATTCACGAACGTAGCCAATTTCAAGCGCACGTGTTAACACTAAAAATAAAAGATCAAAGCTATAAATTTACCAAATTAACACGTAGGCGTAAAAAGGCGAGACTTAACAAAACAAAATGTAAACCTAAAAATACTCAAAATAGCACTCCTCTAAATACTCCACAACACAATTGCTAATTTACTCGCCTCATACCCGTACGGTTATTTCGGCTTCAAGGAATAATGGCTTCTCACTTTCAGTTAGCGCTTTGAGAGAATAATGAGAATAATGAGGGAATAAGTCTACTTTTAAGTGCGTTTTTTCCCAAAAAAGTGCCTAATGGGGAGAAAAGGAAGTAAGACCAGTTAAGGAAAAAAGAAGAAGAGGAAGGAAATCGGGGGATTGCTTGATCATGATCGATCGTGTTCTTGCTGCAGATAGTGTTTCAAACTGAAGGAATGCGAATGAAAAATTGTTCTTTATGTTGTCAGCTGGTTTACTCAATTGTTCAGCTAACAATCGTTTGTCCTTTGTTTTGAAGAAATAGGCAATCGTTTAGAGGAGATGGCAAAAAAAATACAAGAACTGGAAAATGCAAAGGAAGACGGTACAAATTTATTAGGTGAGTCGATACGAACAAAAATCCTATGGTTTGGATCAAAGGCCTCAAAATGACGTTTAAAGCATAGCCCTGCACAAGAAGGTAAATAAAAAGTTCCTCCGGTTATACTCAGTCACAATGACAAAGATGGGTAATCGTAACAAAGTGTTCAGGAAATGTCGATTCAGGGTCGTCTGAGAACCATAGCGGCTTAATTTACCAAATAAATGGAAAATTATACTTAAACTGCGGATCAAATTGAAAAGGTAACACTCGGTACTCGCAAGCATAAGCCATAGTTTGTCTCCTAAAGTAAAACACGGCTTGAAGGTCGACATGACAATTTGGTGAATGCCTTTTGTTTGACACATTGTGACCCCCCCTTTTAACACAATCTATGCTTGACGAGGAAACTTTGAATCAAATGATGTAAGTCTTAATCAATTTAAAAATTCGTTGGCTCTGGTTTTATCTCACTATAAATAGAAGGATTAAAGGAAGAAGTAAGTGAACAGAGTATGAGGTTTAAAGAGGAATGTGCTCAGTTAGGAGAAAATTTAGAAGAGAAGCTCAAAAAGAATTGGGGGAAACTTGAAGACTATGTAAAGGAACTATCACAATTACGTGGAGATGCTAAAGGTGAGAAGAAGTACAAAATCAGTAACATAGTGACGGCTTATTTCGGCTTCAAGGAATAATGGCTTCTCACTTTCAGTTAGCGCTTTGAGAGAATAATGAGAATAATGAGGGAATAAGTCTACTTTTAAGTGCGTTTTTTCCCAAAAAAGTGCCTAATGGGGAGAAAAGGAAGTAAGACCAGTTAAGGAAAAAAGAAGAAGAGGAAGGAAATCGGGGGATTGCTTGATCATGATCGATCGTGTTCTTGCTGCAGATAGTGTTTCAAACTGAAGGAATGCGAATGAAAAATTGTTCTTTATGTTGTCAGCTGGTTTACTCAATTGTTCAGCTAACAATCGTTTGTCCTTTGTTTTGAAGAAATAGGCAATCGTTTAGAGGAGATGGCAAAAAAAATACAAGAACTGGAAAATGCAAAGGAAGACGGTACAAATTTATTAGGTGAGTCGATACGAACAAAAATCCTATGATTTGGATCAAAGGCCTCAAAATGACGTTTAAAGCATAGCCCTGCACAAGAAGGTAAATAAAAAGTTCCTCCGGTTATACTCAGTCACAATGACAAAGATGGGTAATCGTAACAAAGTGTTCAGGAAATGTCGATTCAGGGTCGTCTGAGAACCATAGCGGCTTAATTTACCAAATAAATGGAAAATTATACTTAAACTGCGGATCAAATTGAAAAGGTAACACTCGGTACTCGCAAGCATAAGCCATAGTTTGTCTCCTAAAGTAAAACACGGCTTGAAGGTCGACATGACAATTTGGTGAATGCCTTTTGTTTGACACATTGTGACCCCCCCTTTTAACACAATCTATGCTTGACGAGGAAACTTTGAATCAAATGATGTAAGTCTTAATCAATTTAAAAATTCGTTGGCTCTGGTTTTATCTCACTATAAATAGAAGGATTAAAGGAAGAAGTAAGTGAACAGAGTATGAGGTTTAAAGAGGAATGTGCTCAGTTAGGAGAAAATTACATGTTTTTCTCGTTGCCATGCACCCACCAATAACGTAGCTCCATTTTCTGCCTTTAAAAGCACACACAACCCACAATTCCTCTATTCGCTCCGACGAAGGGCTAACGCTCGAAACGTCAGCTTTTGTAATCATTACGGTGGCCAATTTACCATTTCAACTTTGTTGATATATCCAAATTTTTTTAGGTGATCAGTACGGTAAATCTAGTCTGAAGTCCTTAATATCTAAAAACGGTCCTAAAATTATCTTATCATATCTTATCTGCTATGTGCACAACCAAACCAACTTAATTGGTCTCATTTTTTAATTGAAGTGACGCATGCTGCATATGTATGTCGAATAAATGGCTACACCGTCTTAGTAGTCTTAAGACCAGCTTGCAAACTTTCGCCATTGTAGTACTTACCAATAATCTGCTATTTCCTAATTACCTTACGACATCCCCGGCCCTTCTAATTATAAACCAATCTCCAACGGTATTTTCCAATTCAAATTTTTTATGTAGTCAACCCTCTCGTAGAGGGACAACCTCGGCAATATTAAATGTGCCCGTTAGTAAAACTTTCTGCCTACGAGAACTATTCACTCATATGCACACTAAAGTTAACTAGGGAATAATTCCGATAAGGGAAGGATAAATTAGTGAGTGTAAATTACACGCCAAACGAACGAACAGCTTTCTTTCCCGCGGACAAATGGGGATTTTAAAAAAACTTATGTACAAGGTTACGCTTTTGATGATTTGCAGATTAATTAAAGACAAATTTCTTTGTAGAGAGTCAAAACTATGCATGGGGTGTGCACTTAGAAGAGAGCGTCAAAAAAGAAAAATTCAATTTTCAATTTTCAAAGTGTCCACGTCCGCTTACGCGGATGTGTATATATAGAGTATGACTGGGAGGTAAAATGGGGATTGAAAAAAAGTGCCCGTAAAAAGAACTGTCCGCTTATGAGAGTTTCCGTTAGCAGAGAATTGACTTTAGTTTTGAAATTTCTCGCAATTTACTGGTTATCTCACACCATAAAATAACTGAAATGTTTTTGGCTCTTTTAGTTGGTATCGTGCTATTTTCACTATACCGTTCAAACAAAGGCAAATGGAACATTTTAGAATTAATACATTTTTAAAGAATTTTGCAAACCCCTCTTTGGACATTCGGAGAATAATATTCGGAGAATACGAGTCACCCAACTATTACCTAGATAGACTTTCTATGTTACAAATGTCGGTAGACCATTTTGGGCGAAACTAAGGATACAACAATTTTGCGAGATAAGTAGAACATTTAACATTGTTTGTGTGAATTCGTTAGCGCAAGACCCCGTTTTCCACCAACATCATCCGATAGTGCATTGCAGGATGCACTTTTCTCCACCTGTGGAAAGATTTGAGACGAGTCGGAAAGAGGTTCTTTGGAGGTCTTGCATTTCTGCTCAACCCGTTGCAGACTTCTAACCGGCTCGCCGCACTATATATGAGGCTTTGAATTTTCGGATTATGTAGGGATTGAAGAGGGAACAGTGCAACTTAAGGACGTCTTGATACTGCAATAGGCGGGGAGAGCGTCGCATAAAAGTTGCTCGGTTATTTACAAACTGATGTGGTCTTCAAATTTACTCTGAACCTGCATCCTGCATTTGCAGCATTCAATCTCTTCGCCATGCGAAACATTCAACATGTTTTCTCTCTCGGTTTTCGTGAAAGAATAAAAATAAATAAATAAATGCATAAACTGGAAACAAAGATAGGACATCTTAAATGACTTGATTTAGTTATGCTAAAACAGTGGCTAGCGTCGAAGGAGCGCTCTGATTGGCCACTCAAACTCTGAATATCATTGGCTAGAAACCTTTGAGCAACGCGCGCTGGATTTGCAATGTTGTAATCGTTGCAGGAAGAAAGAGCTGAAATCGTCTTTTTTTGCAGTATCATCGGATTGTTTTATTATATACTAAAACAACTATTTCCTTTGTGCTACTGTCGTGTCTTTTCCCGCCAATAGTAATTATTTTAATGTATTTCATTGTTTTCTTTGGTCACGTGACTTTTGTAGTTTTCGCAGTTCAGTCACGAAATTTTAAGCTTTGCCTTGCCTTTCGTTTCTTGTCCTTTTGTGGAGTTGATTTAAAGTTTTTCGAGCTTAACTGTTGCGGTGGCACGGTTGTTTTGAGTCGAGTAAGTATAGGCTGAGTATTCCGCTTGTGGAGCGCTGAATGGGCCGATAGAGGACAATAAAGAACGACAAAGAACTAGAGGTTTGTGACTGATCTCGTGTTTTGGATTACATACATCACAGCTACCACACAGCCAATCATTTTTAATTGTACTCGGAGCTTCTTGATAAGCCTGAAGTTCAAAACTTATCTTGAACTCTTGTCTCAATCTTCAAATCCCACGTGCTCCTGTGGAAAATAGTTATTTTGAAATTCTGTAGTTGGGGTCGTGTGAGACCCATAGCAGCTTTATTTGCCGAAGAAAAGCGAAGTTATACTTGAACTGCGGATCAACTTGAAAAGCCGTCATTAGGGTTTTCCCTAGTTAATAATTTGGATATATCAACAAAGTTGAAATGGTAAATTGGCCACCGTAACAATTACAAAAGCTGACGTTTCGAGCGTTAGCCCTTCGACGATAGCGATAGCGTGAGCATGTCACGCAAACTCGTTTTGTCTTCAAAAATCTTGTCGCCGTCCTGTTCAGAACTACGAGATTTTCAAGAAAACTCGTTCCCCGAGTACTGACTTTAGGCGGGTTAAAAGATTTGTCTTAATCGCTGTTTTACAAGTTTTCGAGCGACTCATACAAGTACAAATGCTACATTAAACGGCGACCAACAAATTGCTATGTTTGCACGTTAGAAATTGATTTTCAAAAATTCACTTGCATTCTTCGTCCTTGACGCGAGTTAAGTCAAAGCGATCGTACGGCCAGTGGGGAAAGGACGGGTTTTCCTTTCTTACCGTTTCGAAAAGCATCGAAAACTCGACTTCATCGATGACATCCTCCTTGAACATAAATGCCAGAGCATCTTGTGTGGTTTGTCTGCTAAACATTTCCACCACTGACAAAATGTTACCACTTCGTACTCATAACAAGTACTGCGAAGAGTCTGTCCGGCGTAAATTGAAAGCCATCAAGCCAAGTAAATCTGCGGGTCCTGATGACATTGCTCCAAAATTATTAAAACTAGCTGAGCCTGCGATTGTCTCTCCCTTGGCTGATCTATTCTCATTCAGCGCTCACCTGGGAGAACCTTTACCGACTGGAAGAAGGCTCGTTTGATTCCAGTGTATAAAAAAAGATGATGAAGCAGACAGAAACAACTATAGACCTACATCGCTTCCTAGTGTTCCAAGCAAGAGAATTGTTATGATAAGTGGGTTGTAAGTCACGTGATCTCGTGGATCACGTGCAGTGTGAAACTACTGAATAAACAAGCTGAAGAAAAGTTGAACTCATAACAAGAATGGAATCTTGTGAATCAGAATCTCTTGTTCGACATGTTTTCCAGGATAACCTAGTTACAGATAAACAATGGGCTCACCGTGAAGGGCACTCAACTGAACTATTGCTTGTACACCTGTCGGAAATCTGGAGAACAGCTATTGATGCTGGTAAAGTGGTTGATGTGAATTCAGAAAAGCTTTTGACTGCGTATCTCATGCTATCCTGCTGCATAAGTTGAATCCTCAGTTTGGAGTACAAGGTTCTCTTCTATTATGGCTGACAGATAATCTAACCGATCGAACTCAATTCACGGTAGTAAACGGCCAACACTCAAATGTGCTAAATGTAACCTGCGGGATTTCCCAAGGATCGGTACTTTGCACAACATTGTTTGCATTGTACACCAATGACCTACCAAGTGCTGTCACCTCTGGCTTTGTCTACATGTACGCAGATGACACAACCGTTTACTGCATCGGGGACACTGTCGACAACATTGTCACTTCTTTAAACAAAGCTTTATCGGAATTGAACAGTTGGTGCCTAAAGAACTCTTTAACCTCTCACTCTGCAAAGTGTGAAGCTATGCTGTTGATGAGTAAAACCACACATCGGGTCACTAAATTCGGATCGGATCGAGTGGGTGAAATACTCTCGTCTTTTGGTTGTTACTATCGACGAGAGACTTTCATGGACCCACCATCCGTACTGATGTTTCAAAAAAGAATTTTGTAAACAAACTGCGCCTATTGAAAAGGAGCTCGTTCTTGAAAAGAAACGCCCGATTGGACTTATACTTCAAGATAATACTACCATCAGTTCTGTACGGACTAGTCGTTTGGGGCGGCTGCCCTAATGCAAAGCTTCTACATTCGCTAGAAGTACTTCACCGTAGGGCGGCCAGAATTATATACAACTTGCCCCGAGATATGCCTAGTGAGAAAGTTTACCAACATTCAAACTGGAATACTTTAACCCTCTATTATAAACTTCAATTAATTAAACTACTCCATAGCGTCTTTATAGGTAAAGCACCTACGGCTCTGTCATACTTAATAAACAAACCATGCACCACATACAATTTTCGAAGAAGTAATAATATAATCGTCTCGCCTTTTAATTCGCATTTTTTTAAAAAAACTCCATTAGCTATAGAGGCGCTATACTCTGAAACGCTGTCTCGAAACATTTCACAGACCAGTTTTCAGTTTTTTTAATCGCAAAGTGAAGAAGGAATCTCATTTTAAGGATCTCGATTTTAGCGCACAGTCAGTTCAGTCACTACCCATGCACTACCAAGATTTTATATGCCTTCAACTATTTTTATGTTTTAAACGCTGTAGTTAATTTACTTAGAGATAACTAGTGTAAATCATTTTTATTATTCTTACTGTATATTTTATAAAGTGATTTTAAGTGACATTCTTCTTATTGTTATTGTAATCATATTTACACGACCCCACAAGCTCCTAGCTTTAAACCTCATCGTGTTTAAATGAACTTATGATTGATTGATTGAAACATTTTTGTTGCGAGCTGACGACGGCGACGACTGTGTTTACAACAGCTAAGCCTCAGGCCACCCACGCACAAAAGTCGTACTCGTACTCGTAGTCGTAGACGGATCTGAAGGTCCCTTTTGAGTGTTTCAAAGAGGAGTACGAATAAAAAAAGTCTTTCTAGATGTTGTCAGTTAGTTTATGCAATTCTTCAGCTACTAATCGTTTGTCCTTTGTTTTGAAGAAATAAGAAGTGGTTTAGAGGACATGGAAAATAAAATACAAGAACTGGAGAATGCAAAGGATGACAGGAAAAATTCATTGAGTCAGTTAATACGAAAAAAATGCCATGGTTTGGATTGAAGTTTACAAGTATAGTTTAGAGCATAGCCTTGCACAAATTGGCAAATAAAAGTTGGTCCGGCTATAATCGGTCAAGATGAAAAAGATGAGTAACTTTGTAATAAAGTGTTCAGGGAATGTCGATTCAGGAATGTCATTTTTTCTCTGCGTGAGAAGAATAAGTTCTGCCATATCCCTTATTATGTTTAACTCGGAAAATTAGGCTCACAGATATCTTTAATTTCATTTTGACGTAATATCAGTTCTGTCATGTATGCTGTGTTCCAGAGAACCTTAAAAGGTACTCCGTAGTGAGCAAACTTGTCCGTGAAGTATACAATAGTCTGTGGTCAGAGGGTTGTTTGATTGAAAGAGTCCAGAAAAAGACCGTCCAATACGGTGTTTGAAATGCAAACAATGATTTAGCAATTTAACAATGATCTTTAGCAATTTAACAATTATCTTTAGCGGTTTGCCCACCTTCTCTCACCAGGCAAACTGAAGTGAGAGCTCCAAATAAAAGCTGAGGGTTTGGGAGGGAACGGAGTTGGCGAGGAACTACACTATCAAAAAATATATAAAGTATTGGACGGTCTTTTTCTTTTACACCCGGTGAAGACTTAATCAATCTATAATTATTATTTTTCGTATCAAACCTTCTTTTGTGTCTTGCACTTTCCGTATAATCATGGCTGACCTCTTCAGAAGGTCCTCAGTTTAAAGTATCTCCCCGTAACTCATCAGATTTATTCAATTCATCCAAAAAATCCTCCTGTAGTATTTCCGGAACACTGACATATATCGGAATGATCTTTTCTGATCTCCAATTTTTGATGTCTTGCACCTGTGACTTTTCCCTGAAAACACTATGCAAACATTTACGACTACCTGTTAGTACTTGTATCAGTGGGAACATTGCAAACTACTCTCTGTTATGATAAATAGCGTGGCTATAGTTGTCTTGTAATAAGTTTTATCTAGCTACATTTTTTTTTCAAAGTTTCTGCATCTTCGATGCCCAGTCCGCAAGAAAAAGATTCAAGGATAGAAATTAGGGCGTAAGTATGTTTTTTGGAACAAAATGGTGAGGGTCCCCTACACTTTTTACGTAAAGCGTGTTTGGGAAATTTTTCTTTTATTGAATCGTGATCTCTGATTCAAGATGATGAGATCTTTTCATGTCCTCGTGAAAGAATTTTTTGTTTTCTACACGTGACCCGTGAATTAAGAGTTAAATAAACGTAATTCTTGAACCATTTTATTATGCGTGATAAATTTCCGGCTGTCATGTTCGTATTGTTCTCGGTTAGGTTTTGACAGGAGCCTTCGTGGTTTTGACTAGGCTTTTACCGGAGATGGACTTCATGAAATAAAAACATACCACTTAAGATTCTTCAACAAAGAAGATAAGACACTAGAGAAGTTTAACTCCGCGTTTTCGTGAAACGGTGAACGTCGGCTTGCCCTTTCACGTTTCACGTAAAATAGCGTGAACCTTACTGCTTTAGCCTCGCATAAGCTCACGTCATAGTGTATTTAAAGCCGCCCTTGTAAGACGCACAAGGAATAATTTTGTGTCCTTTTTCCGGCCATCAACTTCAACTCTGTGTGAGAAAAGTGGAGAAAATCTTACGTACACGACGGACGCGAAAGAGGCTACTTTCACATAGAAACGGCGAAGCGAAACCGGAAAACGTGAGAAAACGGCAGGAAAAACGTGGTCACGTTGTCGCATCAGACTGTTTAAGCCTAGGAAAGAGTTTTTGATATTATTCATGATGGATGAAAAGGCCAAACATCTTTACACGACTGAGTTTTACAAAGGGGTATAGGGGACCCTGTTTTATAGAGAAACACTGATTTGTTTGCGAAGTGAAAGTTTGCTTAACTGATTACAGTGTTTAGACGACATAAAAGTAAATGAATGGCATTGAATAGAATATACATATATTGTATTTTTACTTTATTTTACCCATGACAGTATAGCTTAAGTAGTTGTGACATACTACCAGGTTAATAAAAATTCATCGTGTCTTCTCTTAGGGACGCCGTAGAAGAAACTTACACGGAGACGCCTCTGTCGCGAGAACAACCGTCTGTTCGGGAAACTTCAGCTTTTGTGGAGTCGCCTGAAGATGACCTAGGTGAGAGTTTTTTTAATGTTAGAACGGTAGTGAGGAACGAGAAAGGAAAAATTTTGAAAGAAATTTAGTATTACCCTAATAGAATTCTAGTGACTTGACTCTGAGTAGACCCTTCTCGTGGTTAGGCGGCTGTGGTGGCTGCTGCTTTTCATTATTACCTATCAACTTTGGATACAAGTCGAGTAAGTACTATTACTTAGGTGAAACCACTTGTCTGCGAGAGTTAAGCCTTCGGATAATGACAGACTTTTTTGGAGTTCTAACCATGTATACCTAAAACATCTCATCTAATTCCCATATCTCTTAAAAAAACTCCCTCATTCAGCTCTCAATAAATCAGTCTTACTAGAAATTCAAAGAGTTTCCCAGCCATTAAAAAGCTGAAGATTATTCAGCAGTGTCTAACGGTCATCTAGAATGGCTGCTACTGTAAAATGACAAAACTTTGCTGAAAATTACTCATATTTTGTACCAATGAGAGACAAGCAAAATTAAAGCCAGCAAATTTTGAAAAAATAACTTCGTTTGAGGGAAACTAGAATTAGCTTTTTCTTTTTCAAAACCATTCAGGGAAACTTGTTAATAACCATTCAAATACTTACTTTTAAATTTATTTCTTCAGAAGTTTCATGTCGAGGTCGATTCTAATTACATCAATTTTGAATCTCACTGCAACTACTTCTTTGTTGACAATTTTTATTCTGTATTAACGGGTTGTTTCTGTTTATTTTTTGCCTAGCCCTAATCGGAGAGCTAAGAAATAGAACTGTTACTCAAAGGATAGCAACACGTTGTCAAGCACATATAGGAAACTGCTGGAGAACACTTGGAGTATTTTTTGAAATTGACGAGAGTGTACTTAACAACATAGAGACTGATTTCCCAACAGCTGAGGAAAAGGGATTTAAAGTTCTAGAAATATGGAGGGATAAGGAAGGGCGCAGTGCAACAGTGAGATGTCTCGAAGATGCCCTTCTTGAAATAGGCAAGAGAAGAATTGCAGAAAATATACTAGGTACTTAATACCGTACGTTTTATGAAAGTCATCCATCTCGATTGAAGTCCAGGTAGTTCTCGCGATGAGCTCGTAAAAAATTTTCTATGGTGCAACTAGACGTGACCACAGTGTTTGACTTGCTGTCAGAACCTGGAATTTGCATTTTCAATTTTCATCCATATTATCTAAATTCTCTCATTGAATTTTCCTCGTCCCTTGAATAGATATTGTTCGAGAAGAAAGAGGAAGGGAAAGCAAACAAAAAGGCGACAGGTCAAAAGGTACGTGGATTTTTCCTTTCCGTTCCGTGAAGAATTATTTAACGTCTGAATATTCTTGCACGCACGATCTTAGGAGTCTCTCGCTCTTCATATCATCTTAGGTGAACTTTTATAGAAGTTCCAAGTCCTCTTGTGAGTACTCTTTAACACTAGAAGTATCAGAATAGTGAGCTTTACTGTCCCACCGTTTGAAATATGCACTTTATCCCAAAATATTATAATTTTTGAGTAACATCACATCTCTACTGGTCACCTGTAATTAGTCAAGCTACGTGAGGATCGAGGCTAGAATTTTCTTCCTCATTCAGAAGCTCAATATCGGGCTTGTAGAGATGCTTTTTGAGATCATTTTCAAATCCAGAAAACTTACTGCAGATTTTTCCTTTTGGGGTTTACAAACCAGGTCAGGCATGTTTCCGTTTATACCCGTTGGTTTTGATTTGATCATGAGTTCTTTACTTTATTCCAGGCGCACTAATATCCCAGTAAGCAACTAACTAATTCGTATCTTCAGATCTTAAATCGTTATTTTAAGTTAGCACTATGATCCCTTTATGCCATCAGTGCTTCCCAAGGCCTTCCTTTTTGTAATTTAAACTGAATACATAAGCTTTACTTGTGCCTTGTCTTTAATAAAACTTGAGCTTACATAAAAAATCTTTATGATATGGTTTTCATAAACAGCCGAGTAGAAAATAAAGAAAACTAAATGATTAACATACCAAACCCTTAATTAAAATATGAGCCGTTATTGTCATGTAGAGACCTACATATAAATAATAAACGTTACACAGTAATCGTGCTAACGAGACGGTTGGTGATTCAAATATATTTTTCTTCTTGTTGCGGTACAATGCTTAATTTTTCGAAGGATGGACAACTAACAGCGTTATATTTTGTTTTTCTTTTGGCATTATTCGGTAAAGAGGACGAGCCAAATAGAGTGGCAAGACTCGAAAATGTCAGAAAGAAGAATCAGCCAAAACTCAAAACTAGAGGAGGTGAGTTTTAGTTCTGCACAGGGGCACAAGTTGTAAAGCATTCCCAAGCGATTCGGCTAATTTTCAAATCCTCTTGTAGTGTTTTAGAGCGCCAAAAGGTATTGGCGCGGAATGGCCTTCTCTGATTGCGGTTTTAGGTATACTTTATCTCATGTTGTAATACATAGTAGATTTTGATCAGAACAAAGTCTTTGCTGGCCACCCATTCGGAAGCCTAGTCATCGGGCTTGTATCCTGCAGTCTTACTGCGATTTTCCCTTTTCGGATTTACAAACCGAGTCAGGCATGTGTTCATGCCATTATCTTGTTAGTTGACGTCTTCACCTAAGTTTGGCTGAAAATATCTCCTTTGCATCTTAAATAAACAAGCTAGCACTTTCATTTCTATCCATCAGAGCTTCGGAGCGGACCTTAGTCACTTGCAGACTGGATACCCAAACTTCACGAGTCTTGTTTAGAAGAAGTTTTGAATTTGCGCAAAAAAAGATTATACAACATGGTTTTCATTGACGACTGAGTCGTAAAAAAGAGAGCTCTTCAGACCCCTTTACTCGACATGATGGGTAACCCAGAAAAAGCCTGATCGAAATGAACTGTTATTATTCTGAAGAGACATTGAGATAAATAATAAATAGTTGATCATCAATTCTATAGCAATTGAACTAACGAAACCGTTCGATTTTCCCCTATTTCATTTTTATGGCTGTCGTGGGATTGATAGGCTTTAGGAAGTTGGAGAATGAGTCTGAAAGAGTAAAAAGACTCGAAAACGTTAGAAGGGATAATGTGGAAAATCGCAAACCTGCAGCAGGTGAGTTTCAGTTCTGAGTGTCATTCAAAAGCGTGCAAACATTACAGGTTTTCCTTAGACTATTCACTTGTTGATTGTTCTTAAGCTCTATACCGTAAATCGCTGATGTTCTGTAAAATTTGTGCGATTACTAGTCAATTCATCAACCCGATCTGTCTACAAGTTTTTTTTCCATTAAGAGTCCTGTATATGGGTCGTATACGGTCAATTGAAAAAGTTCGAAAAAGATAACTTCTCATTTAAACACTCATCACCGTGATTTTGGATATCATCCTGCTGGTGGTCGAAACCGCTTGTAGACTTAAGTTTGAAAAGTATACTGTGCTGATTGGTTCAACTTTGAGTATTTTAGAGACAAAAATAAGGATTCTGTCGAGTTAAGAGTTTTCAAGCTTATTGTCCCTTACTGTGTTTTTGGTCGCCTTGGGGATGTTTTTTTTTTTTTAATTTAAACACTTTAAAAAGCTTAATCTAATCTACGTTTTTTAAAGTTTTAATTGAGTCCCTTAATCACTGCAAAAATTAATAATTAGCTTCACCGTACGATATTTGTTTTCTTGGATTACAATGTAGGAGAACCTTCCAAGACACCGCTAAAAAAGAAAAGGAGCAAGTCATCTGGTGCAACAAAAAAGAAAGCTGATATAGTTAAAGAGGCTGACATAAATTACTGAAAAAATCATACCGGTGATAGAAAATTCCTTAAGAGCGTCCTGAACAGGAAATTCCCCAGCGGCGTCATCATAACTTTGCTATGCTCTATGTTATCAACTCCGGCCTTTTTCAACAGCCGACGCGTAGAAACCAAAGGCTAGGATGGAGAAGACTAACTATGACTGGGGTGGAATGTGGAGCAGAGTTCAAAACCGCAACCAGCTGCTCTCCAAAGCGATTGAGAATGGACTGTTGATGACTAAAATTTCGCCAGCAGCCGACTGATTTCTAATCTTGTTGTACGACTTTGGGCCAATTTACCCCTCAATAATCGAAAGGTCCATCATATTTTCGTTGCGTTCATGTACACAAGTAAACAGTACGGCAATTGGTATAAATATGTGAAGCGACAACATCTTAAGTCAGTGATTTATGTACCTGTCGGGGCGTAGGTTTTTCCTGAGCCATTCGCGATTACTGCTAATTGCAAGCCTCCACGGTCACATCTCACAAGGCTCTAACTTGCGTAACCCACGAGATACTCTGACGTGACACTTTGTCACATGACTCATGACGTAACCCTACGTAGAACTGTCAAAGGTTATTAGACTCCATTAGACACCCGTACTAAGGGGGCCCGCACCGCTACTAATAACATAATTATTTAGCACACTAAAATAACGTGTAAGCGAGCCAGTACTTTATAACGTAGATGTTTATTAGTAGTCCAACATTTCGATACTTAGTAGAGAGAACTAATATTTTTCCACTCCAACTTGCTTGTATCACATTGAACGAAGAATTATTTGGCTGATATATTTAAAATGCTCCTTGTTTCTCCAGCTTATAAAAGCGTATGCTAATGTCTTTATGCCCGTTGTTTAGTGCACTGCTAATTTAATCAACTAACTATTGCATTCAACACATGACTTTGCCCTCTCGCAGTTTTTTTTTTATTCATAATAATATTTCTTTCTTCGATTTTCATGAGCTTTCTCGTGGTCAGGAATTGTCTACTTTTCAGCTCAAAATTACTCTGAAAGGGAAGAAAATCAAACAAGAAATTGTGTTCGGGCCACTTTCACTCTGAAATCCATACTCGGGGACACACTATGGTAGGAACTGAACTGCCCGCTGAAAAGATTCTGCGCACATTTCCGTGCCATATGAAGGCTGTTACTTGCATATTCTATTAATAATATCATGGCAAACCGCTGTCTAGGACAATAAAAACAGATTCACATACCGAAGAAATTTTCTGCATTCCTTCTCTAACCACAATTCAATTAGGCAGGTCAATACAGGGCGACGTGGGAAACTGTTGGAAGGACCTTGGAGTAGTTCATAAAATACCAGAAAGCGAACCTCACAATATAGGGAAAAACTTATAAACATGCTAAAGGAAAAGGACTTGCTGTACTTAAATCATTGAGAAATAAAAAAGTGAGTAAAGCAACTGTAGGATGCCTTTTGGACGCCTTTGAAAGTATTAACGACTTCCTTTTCTCAGTTCTTCGTTTTCAGCTGCGGAACATGAATACGAAAGTTATCATATATTGCGAAGTACACCGTTCATTACAAATTATTCAATAAAAAAAAAACCGGAGCATAAAATTTTCAAGTATTTTTATCCATTTTCGTTCCGAAATCCAATTCAGTAGTAACCGCTGGACAAGACAGGACAATACACAAATGCAACGGAACTAAAAAGAGCTTAGGCATTAAGTACTTTGCCATTTCCGATCGCAAAGATTCTAAAGGACTTGACCAATTTTGGTAGTGACAAGACATTGTTATGATTTCACTTTCAGTGAGTAACAAGCTTCTGTTTTGATTAGACAGAGAAAACTTCTAGTCTTACTACATTGCAAGAAGACTGCGAAGCTTCGAGTTACGGGGCATTGGTGCGTCCGGATCTACGATAGAATGGTTCGGAAGTTATTTAACCCCACGATACCAATATGTGCGAATAAACACAACTCTGTCTGCCAAACTACCTGTCAGCTCTGGCGTTCCAAAAGGGAGCATCCTTGGCCCATTACTCTTCAACATCTATGTTAACGACCTCCCTTCTGTACCAGAAAATTTTTCATCGCAGTGTTACGTCGACGATACCAAACTACTCATGTCATTTTAACTCCACGATCAGCACGCAGCGATAGCAAAGATGAACAAGGACTTGCTAAGTATTCGAAACTTTTGCTTCGATAATCAGCTTTTACTTAACCCAGATAAAACAAAATTAGTGATATTCGGCAGCCGGAAAATGACTGCTAAGGTTAGCGACTTTAGGTTATTTTTATTGGGGAAGGAACTCGAGCCCGTTAAGGCTGCAAGAGACCTTGGCGTCACACTGGTCTCTAATTTAACATATAATGAACATATTGTTTCCACTCTACCTTCATGCATGTCACGATTAGGTCAAATTAACCGCGTTAGGCATATTTTTGATAAACGTGCCTTAATTATTATCATAAATGCCCTAGTGTTTAGTGAATTATTTTATTGCTCTTCTGTTTGGAGCAACACTACTCAATCTAATTTGGACAAGCTCCAAGCAGTACAGAATTTCGCTGGTCGCATTTTGTGCGGCGCAAACAAATTCGATCATATAACTCCTTTGTTAAAAGGCTTGCGCTGGCTACCAATCAGACAACAACTTTATTTTCGTTTTGCCGTTCTGGTTTTTAAGTGCATGACGAGATGCGCTCCGGAGTATTTGACATCTAAGCTGGTCAGAAGATCTGCCGTATCGGCAAGGAATACGATAAATCTCAACTCTTGGACATTCCACTCTTCCGCACAGCTAGCGGCCAAAGGACCTTTCAATATAGAGCGACCGCTTTTTCATTGCCAGAAATTTGGGTCAAAATGCCGGACGCGCGTGCGTATTGAGGAGTTAATGGCGGCGAAATCGTGTGAGGAAATGTATGGGATTTCCACAAAAATCCAAAATACAACAAATACGAGTCAGAGTATTCCCTAGCTCCGACTCGAAACAAGTTCAGTAGAGATTAAGCTGTACTTCTAGCATAAAAATAATTCAAAAGTTGTTTGTCTACTTACTTCCAGCAATGCCAGCAATGTTTGATATTCGAGGCTAGTCATTTCCTCTAGTCTGTTTCAAATATAGCGTAATCCATGGCAAAGGATTGTCGATTTGAGGAACAACCCTCCAAGAAGTCAACTAGCTCCAACTCGCATTAAATAAAGGGAAGTTCGAAGTAAGCAAATCGTCCATAAAAAGAAACATTTCTTAACAATAAGATACTTCCAAAAGAGTTTGAAAATTGCTATTTTTGCTCTGTGGAGTCTGTGATGTGAGACCATCCTTCAGAACGCACCAGAAGGGAAAGCGTTGAAAGAAAAACCCTCTGCGAAACCTTTAAACTGTCGCCATATTTGTTTTTCTTATTCAGCAATGTTTGACGGGAAATAAACTCGTTCCAGACCCTCTCATACTAAAGTAGAGCCTTGAACAAATTTATTTTCTCGCGCGAAAATTATGAAGCAGACCAAAGAGATCTGTATAGTTCGTTCGTTGAACTGTGTTTTCAACAGGGAGAAAAAGCCCTTTTCAGGTAAGATTTGCCTAGATCTTCCCATTATTTAATGCAAGTGGTTTAAGCTACAATTTCCAAATTTCTGACATCCGTAGACGATTACAAATAAAGCCAGATTGTCCCTTGCATTACGTCAGACAGCAAATTGCTATAAGTCGCTCTGCCTTAAAAATACCAAGAGATATTTTCAAAGCAATTTTTTTTGGCTTTTTTCTCCCTAAAGAAGGTCCACAGAACTTAAATCGCTCAATATTTAATATGGAACATGTCCTAACCACTATCTTTGTTTTCATCCGACTCCAATCCGCTGACCAATGAATGCGGGAGCAAAATGTCCTCGATTTCTGGCGATGGGAATGAGCTGCCACCTGCGCTCAAACTTAGTCCATCCGTGACGGCTTTCAAGCGTTTGCTCAGGCAAAAGCACCTTAATGACTGCTTCAGTTAATTTTTATCATTTATCCTTTTATGTACTTAGGTTTTATTCGTGTAATGTAGATTTGACTCTGAAAAGCCCCTTTGGGACGAGCCAATAAAGTATGTATGTAGTTAAAGACGGTTCTCATCGCTTTGCGATTCGAGCAATACCGATTTTCGCTTGCAAATCAATGCAGATAATTCCCTCGTCAGGCAATCAATTTTCCTATAAGATGAGGGTTCTGTTGAGTGTTTTCAATCTTATTGCACCTTTCTGTGTTTTCGTCTCCCCAGGGATGTTTGTAAAACGTTATAGGCTTAATCTAATCTAGGTTTCTCATTAGTCACAATCGAGTCAAGAAACTTCACTTGTGTTTTTCAGAAATCACTTTCACAACAATGAGTGTATCCCACGGATATTTTTCTTCTTGGCTTTGTACATTGTAAGGCCTGCCCTAGGGCATCCAGTTGCCGTAACTTTGGGCGACTTTGGGTGATTTAAGGCGACTTAAGGTGACGTAAGCAAAATTGGCAGAAAAAACATTGTAGCTTTAGGCGATTTAACGCGACCTAAGGTGACTTAAAGCGACTTAAGGCGAATTTATTTAACTGAAGTGATAAAATCAAAGTTAGCAACAGTCTCTCCATAAACTTTAAAAATGTTCACAGAATCCCTTGCAATAAACACAATAGTCACTTTGGTTACTTTCGTTTGGTCATAAGTCACCATAGTCCTAAATATCCAGATTTTAAATATCCAGATTTATCTAAAAATAGTCAGACAGAATTACCACAACAGTTATTGTTAAATTATACAGTCAAAGCTAGAGAATGAATAGCCAAGAAAACATTATGGGTTCTACGCCCAACATCAAACAAACCGATCAAAAATGTACACATAAAGACACACATGTTTAATTTAAGAAAAGAGATATGATTCACATTAAACTATCAATAAATTTTCCACATAATGAATTAAAAATAACTTGATTATTTAATTTCACAAAGCTTCACAAATCATAAATATTGTTCTCTTGGTAAACTTGTCTCCGATATTTTTACCACTTGCACTGTCAATTTGGGCATGATCCTTTCCAACAGCATACAAAATTGCTCTGTCCTTTTCAGAGACCCAACCAATTTCTTGTTCTCCTGCCTCAGTTAGACACCCCAATACCATACTGAGAACCGTGTAAAAATACTTCCTTTCCAGTCTCTCCAACTAAAGTTTCTGGCCGCAGAAAACTTCGACGTCCCTGTTATAGGGAATCTAATGTTTTTGAAAGTTCTTTCTCATCTGTTAATCGGATCAGCAGGACCTTCGAAGCATTCACTTGTTACTAACCTGCAGCGTTTCACCAAAAAAAATTGGACAAGTTTTATTTTTAGCCTGGTGGCAGTATTACAGGTTTAAAAGCATTCATTGTTACCCTACAACTGTCCAGAAAGTAACGAGTCAAGGCGAAATTCTCCAAGCTGATAACTGGCTCTATAGTCTCCGCGCGCCATTTTAATTCTTCCAGTAACCTTTGCGCCGCTAACTAGTTTCCATGCTTCGAAGTTAGGAGCGAGACAACATTGGAGGGATTCTCTCGCTAAGTATGTCCATACTATCTGTTATTACCGAAAAATTTCCTTTACTTTACCCCGGATTGTGTCACTGATAGGATTTTTCTTTCCGCATTGCAAGCACGTAACCTGTCAGTAGACGCAAGAAGGACTTTAATCCGTGGGTGTGGATTGGAAAGAATTTATCTGTGCACTTTTCAGCAGGCTCGCGTTCGTGTTGTTCCCGCGTGCACTTGGTCAGGGGACAAAACTTAAGTCACATGATCAAATATGACTGGCAGCCATGTTTACTGTAAAAAGGCTTTTCTCGTCGTAGAAGTGATTCATGTATGTTGATTATCAAACTAGCAAAGATGAAATGTACAAAAAGACTATCAAAGTCTTAAGATAGATAAATATTGACGTCTTTAGTAGGTTTTTCGAGCTACAACGTTCAAATGTTTTCAGTTGGTCGAATACCATTGTGGAAGTAGTTAGTACAGATCAACGGGTTCACGCTGGAAAAATGGCTCACTTTTGTCACTCTTTTACTCTGGGTAAGTTAAGTGGATAAAATTTAGCTTCATTTAGATGTAATTGACATTTGATGCTATTTTTATCGCTCAAGGTATAAGTGAGTGGCAAGAATGAGCCTGTCTCCAGATTACCTTTCTATCACTTTATCTTGAGGATCTGGTACTGTATGTTTGATTTGATTCAATATTTATTATATCCTGATGATAATACACAGCGTCAACCCTTTTATCAACTTTTTTATCATGAAATACAAACAGAAATTTTGTTGAAACATGAATGCTGTTTGATACGTATGATGCACGATCCTCGCAGTAGATAGCGCTATTTATGCAATAGCGAAAATCAGACCTGAAAAA